AGTCAGGGATTCAAGGAATATACCGTCGAATAGATCTTTAGGAAAGTTAACCGTGCAAAATGTTATAATCAAAAAGGAACTCCTTAACAGTTGACTTCAATTAAGAAAGTCTATGTTTATAATTTCTAAACGAAGTTTTACTAGCATGTTTTTATAACTATATCCCAATTTTAAAATTACATTCATAACAAATATGGACAAATCTTCACTTTCAGTGCCAACATCATTTCAATAAACCATGTGACTAACTGTTCACTGTTCATTTAAGAAAATAGACTTGAATCCTCTTCAAAATATCACCAATTCTTGTACAAAAAGAACTATGGTACCGGTATTACAAATTCGCAATAATTAACACCAAAACATTGTTTTGATTTTAACAGGAAGTTCGTGGATTTTTGACATGTGGATGAAGGCAGACGACAGTAACTGTGATGAAGTGTTGAGATATTTCTCCTTTTGTCTGGTACTCGTGCACTGGTTCCTTTTCCTACTTTCTACCATTGGACAGATTGTCATAATGGCAAAAATCTGTTGTTGCGGAGCTGAAAACGCCATTAAACCATTAAAGGGAAACATAAACATTGACGGTGATGACCTTGAACTTGGAAAATGATAGTAACCCATAGCAGACTATAGGCAGTCAATAGACATATTATCCTAAAATAAACTGAAAAAAAGTTTCAAAGTTCTTTTTTCTTGGATCTGAGATATAAAGCCCCAGCATGACTCTGTTTTGATTTCAGAACATACTTTGTATGGGTAAATACCAAAATAGAAATTAATTGAATCTATGATACCTTTTATAAAAGTATATACATGTAAATCAAAATATAAATGTTTGTTTTTCAATAATAAATCTGTTAAAATGACAAAATATGTTACAGAGCCATGTATTGTTGAGTTTGCATGTAAGTTTTTAATTATTTTTGAACTTCATATTAAAGTATGCCCTTAAAAATCATCATAGAAGTGTAAACATACATTGTGTTATGAACAGAGCTGCATTACTGGTACTGGTACTGGTACTGCAGTACGTACTGCAGGGATTTTGCAAGTACTGGTACTGATACTGAATTACTCTTACAAAATTTGCTACTACTGGTACTGGTACTGCATTACTGTCTTAAAAAGTGTACTGCTACTGCATTACCCAGTACTTTTGGTTTTGATAAAAGTTAAAAAATAGCATCAATTTTTCTCATAAAATAAAGCTGTAAATTACATTAACTATATTTTATTTTTGTGAAAAAGTAAGTTATCAAATCTAAAGATAATTTGCTGCAATCTTCCTTCAAATGTTAACATAGTATTCATCATAAAAAAAGCACTAAAGACTTTAAGTACAATTTAAACTAAGATGAACAGACTCAATAACTCTTTACCCTAAAATATCATTATTAAAATCTTTTATTACTTTGTATTTACTAGTAAAAGAGCAAAATAAACACTAATTAATTTCTTCTATTCTAAATAATCCCATTTCAAGTGAAAAAAGTGATATTGTTAGCACCATAAAAAGTTGTTATTTACTTTGGTATAAATTGAACAGAGGTGTGAAGGTGTGAAAGGCAACAAAAGACTGTTGTGTTTTAAATGAAAGATGTTTGCATTGTATTTATACAGTTGACTGGTTACTAAACAATTAGATATGACATGAATATATGTTGTAAATATTGTTTGTAAAAAGTATGTTAAAACTATAAAGTTGGAAATATATTATGTTAACTTTAAAGGAACTCCACTGAGGTTTATAAGCCTAAAACATAAACATTTTAATTTTTCACATAGATTAACACGAGCAGTTTAAACAAAAATATAAATAAAATATAACAAAGAAATATACAAGAAATGCATTGAAAATCATATGTTTGTGCTATTCTCAGTCTGATTTGAGTGAAAAACGTTGAAACGCTTTTCAAATTTGGGTCATTTTTCACTATTATGATAATTATTCTGGAAAAATAGAGCTAGCTAATGATCTGAAATTTTACACATAAGTTATTAGGATAGATCTACGTCAAATGAAGTAATAATCTCAAAAAATTATTTCCAGTCCTGTCATTGTCAAAAAACCTCAGTGGAGTCCCTTTAAAGTAAATTATGCTTTTATTCCTTTGCTGAATAATATTTGCAATTATTTGTTTGACACTGTATTTATTCAAACTTTGATGAATATATAAAAGTAATGGTACTGATACTTAATTACTTCACTAAAAAAAAGTACTGGTACTGCAGTACCGAGCTAAAATCTAGTACTGGTACTGGTAATGGTACTGCATAATTTGCCAAGTACTGGTACTGGTACTTAAGTACTACACCCTTAGTACTGATGCAGCTCTGGTTATGAACCATAATAGCAAATCATGACCATTTATAATTTCTTATATTATCTAATATGTATGTTTTCTTTTAAATATTTATCCTCCTCATCTGGATGGAAATGCTTTAAATGTTAAGTTTTTCATTGTTTTACATGTTGAAGAAGATTAAAACATAATGTTTTGAAGGTCTTTTTATTATTTGATACCTGAGTTGTGTTCACAATAAGCAACCTCTAAGATGGAATAACCTTCCAAATTGTGGCATAATACAATTTTTTTTACATTTTCAAAATGTACAGGTATTTTTTAAACTTTAGAAGACTAGCAAATGGCTAAAGTATGAAACCTACTTCAACTATGTGAACCGTAAAGTTGCTGAAGTCAAAACTGGTAGTATAGAGCCAGGCCAGCCAGCACATCCTTACAGTCTGACCAGGTTCTATACTGTTGGTAGCTAAAGTGTATAAAGATATTAAAATCCCTTAAATTTTAAATGGACTATTCCAATTTCAAAGCAGGGCAAAACCATAACACAAATTCAGCAAGGGTTAAAATAGCAGTTTGACTGGTTCTATACTGATATGACAAATGAAGGATTCCTCTACTTGCAACTACATGTAGTACTGAATGCATTAGAAAATCCAATACAATATAATTCACTTCTTTTTCTGATGTAATTTAATCATGACATTTATTTATCATTTGTGATTTATTTAAAAGTGTATAGTAGAAAATATAAATGAGAAAAAAACATTGTATGCCGCTGGCATAATGAACGTATGAATTTACAAATAATGAATTTATGTTCACAATTGCAATTTGCCTTCAAAGCTCTTTCACATCATTTGACAGTCTTATGTTAAAGTTTAACAAGTCCTGATACAGGTGCACTTGTTTTTATAAGTCCTTGAATTTCCTTAAACTTGGCATGATTTTTATCACCAACAAGTTGTAACAGTATTGCTTCACTAGTAGTCACTGTAACCCCCATAGCACGAAATCTCTGAAACATACATACATTATAGTAATAATAAATAATAACCTTTGAATAAACAGGATGCATTTGTAAAACACAAAATTTCTAAATGTTTTATAAGAAATAACAAATATATGGAGAACTTTGATGTTGAAGGCAAATGTCACTTAGGAGTCATCACAATGGAATGATAAAAGACATTTGAGGCATTTTGTGTCCTAGCTCTAGATTGTGGCATATTACAAGATTCTTCAGATTGAAAATGTAACCTCTAGTATACAATCTGAATGACTGTACATACTGTATATCAATTTGTGTACTTACATGTACATTAGATATGTTTTCAAGAAAAACACAAAATGGTTGTGCATCTTTGCTTGCTGTGCACTCACAGCAAAATATTTCAAAGGCCTATAGCAACAGTATTCCAGCAAAGAAAATATATAAACATTCACTTATTAGGACTAAAGTACAATGCTATTCACTTTTATTTCCTCATAGCCAGTGCTATGCAGTGTGTACTGTAGCTAGCAAGAATCATTACCTTCCAAGAACAGTCTCAATCAAACTGAGACTTTATTTTTTTTTTACAGTTAACCATTTTGGGCATTGTTTAATTAAGGATTCAGTTTTTGTCTTTCTTGTATTCAACTTTCTACATTAATAATGAAAAAGAAAAAGCAGTAGTTTCTCTCACTTAATTGGGAAGAGGCCTTAATTTCTTGGTTTTGGGAAAATTATCACAATTGCTAATTTGGGAAGTAAAAAACCTTGCATAAGTTCAGATTTTTGGGAAAACTGCATTTTTTTTAAAGAAAATTTTAATTGAGAAGATATCTTTTATATAGGCCTTTGTTATGTATAGGGAAAAATCATAGAAAAGTACATTAAGTGAGAAAGTGAATACCTCATATGCAAACTGTCTGTCCATCTGACTCCTGGAGGAACAGGCATCTGCTACTATATGTACCTCTATACCTCTCTCTAGTAAATCTATCACTGTCTGCTGAATACATACATGTGTCTGTAATGTAACATGAATTGTATTTGTTTTAATCTTCTTCTTTCAAATTTAAACTGCATAAAATGAATACCTTCCCCTACCAAAATGACTTTAAGTGACTTATACCTTTCTTATATGCAACTTATACTCGACTTTTAAGAGAACTATAAGTTATGTATAAGTCACATATAAATCACCTAAAAACCTGTCTTAGTCTGTTTTAGGTGTTTTATATGTTACATATAAGTCAATAAGTCACTTTCAGCCATTTTCCCTCAACAAATAAGTCACATACAAATCACATATTTGTAAATATTAATAATACACTTAATTTTATTCTTTTGGGGAATTTTATATATATTTTTTTTAAAAATGTAGAGATCAAAATCATGGTACCACTATATTTCTAGGCATTAAACAGAGGTAGAATATTTCCCTTTTCCTAACTCGCAAATCTGTTGAAATTTCCCAAGTTTAACCTGAAAATTTCCCCAACCTGAAAATTTGCCAAACCTTTTTAATTTTTTATGGAAAAACAACATGTATTATGAGTGTATTATCATCTGCAAAAAGTGATTGTTTTAAAGGCAATTTTTCTTTGTTTACGAATACAAACATGAGTTTATAAGGTTTACATAACAGTTATATAGCATGCTAAATGCTGCTCAGCTGAAGATATTAGAGCAACATGTACAATTATTTGTCATTTAAGTAGCAAATGTAAAAACAAAGAAGTATTCTGACTTCTCTACAAAACAGTAATTCAATATAACTGTCCTTTTTGCAAAAAAAAGCAACAGAAGTAAAAAATGGTTCAGGTAATTAGCCAGTGAGTAACCTTTTGGAATCTATAACAGGACACCAAAAATAAAAAGCTTTTTTAGAAATAAAAATTCAAGTATTTCTGGGGCATTAACTGTAATGGACCTTTTGTAATGGATAAATAGTCTGTAACAGATGTAAAAATATGCTTATATTATGATGTACATGCACATAGATGTTTGTCAAAGAAAATCACTTAAATAACAAAAAGTGATGATGAAAGGTGAAAAAAGACAGCCTTATTGTAAATCGCATTGAGTAGAGGATTCGCAATTTTACAGCATACTTCCTGAGAAAATTGGTGTGTTGGGATCAAAGGATATTTTTACACCAGCAGCAACGCAGCTAGAGTGCAAAAGTAACAAGCTAGGTTACAAAAAGTTAAAGCCACACTGGAGGTGTTAGTGTAAGTAATCTCACCTCAATACCAAACAATACAACATGGCGGACATCTCCTGCACATAATTCCTTCATCTTCTCCTCTACCTCCGGTAGTACCATGCTGAACTTTGTCTTATCATACACACCAACTGCATGTGATATATCCAGCTCTGTAACAGTCTTACCTAGACCCTTGGAATACTGGAAATATATATTACATAATAAAGCAACTTTGATAGTGAGAAATATTATAAAAAAAAACAGAAGAAAAGAAATTAAAAATATGAATGTCTGAATTTCATATCTGACACCCAACACTTTAGCCTAATCCATGTTCACTGAGCAATTTTAGGAGAAATGATAAACCAAATTTTTTTTTAAAGAAATGATTTTAAGACTTTGGGTCAGCAAATTATGAAGCTTTACCTATATCTAAATTAATTATTTGGTGTGAAGCAGTTATATCCCTTTAAAACATTGTCATAAAATAACATTATTGATGAGCAAATTTGACTACACTTCCTTTTTACCTCAGACAAAATCTCACATAATATCTTGTAAAATATTTGAGTCATGACAAAACAAACATAATGGGTTTGCGACCAGCATCCGCGCAGTCTGATCAGGATCCATGCTGTTCACTTACCTACCCTATTACAAGTAAAGAAACTGATAGCGAACAGCATGGATCCTGATAAGACTGCACAGATGCGCAGGTTGGTCTGGATCCATGCTGGTTGCAAACGCACTCGGTGTTAGTGCTCATCTGTTATGGGCAACACCTTCTTATCACCAATTTTTATAAATATCGTAACTTTTAAAGGCACTAATTCCTAAAATTACTGCTTTTAGGATAATGCCCTTTTTCTTACAACGTTAGTCATGTATTCCAAGTTTCATGTTAATAATATCTTTTAAGAAATTTTGACACCTAGAAATAAACTCCACAATCATTATAATCTATATTTTGTATTATAAAAGTATTATATTTTGGAGCATAAAAAGAGGTAACATACTAATAACATAACACATACACTGTAATCTACCTTTGATACATATAACTTTTTTAAGAAAAAGAATGAGTCAGTGTGACTTTGACCTAGACCCGAGAAAGCCCAAAACCTGTGCTATAGCCTCTGTACATTGTCTCATTCTGCCAAATATTTTTAATTTCCTCTTATCAATTCAAAAGATATAGAGCTGACTCAAAGTTTTGAAATTTATATAGGATGACTTATTGTGTACTTGTTCTTGGCTTGAGGAAGTCCAAACTTCACGGCAGCATTCTGCCCATTGTCTTAATTAGGACTTTTAATTTTTCCTTTAAGTTTTTTCAACTTCCTACAATCTGTGAAAAACATACAGAGTGACTCTGACACGAATCTGCTTACAGAAAGACAGACTGCTGTGTGCATATCATTTTTATGACAAAAATTTTTCTGGTGTATAAAAAAGGGAATAACTCCAAAATGTAGCTATCAGAAATGCCCATGTCTAAAACTGTGCCTTGTCATAATGGTTTCATGTTGACACTATTTATAGATTTAAAATCATTCTACATTATACGCAATCGCAACATAAAGTTTAAGTTATAAAAGGGCACTACTCAAAAAAGTTAAGAATTGTGCCCCTTTTCTTACAACTGCATCTTCTCCTAATAAGTAATTAAGTATTCCAATTTTGTGTTAAAACCGCTTAAAATGTTTCAATCATGGGCTACACAAAAGTTTTTGAACAGCAGTACTGATCACAAGAACACAGATATTGATTGCTTCTTTAAATAGGAGAGCTAAAAAAACAGATAACAATAATTACTTTTTATAAGTTTTACTACTTTTTTTTTACAGTTTCATGCTATGAGGTTATCATATTTAATCTGGCTTAATTTAGTAACCATGATTCATTATAAAATATAAAATAATTATACCAACCTGTTCTGTTGCTATAACTGGAATATCTAAAATCTTTGCTGCCTGCAGCTGTAAAAAAGTTAAGATCTTAGACTTTATATAATGATACAGGAATTTAGCATTGTGTATTTTAATCAAATTTGTTATATTTTGTATAAAATGTATTGTTGTAACTCGAGTCTCCTACAAGAGTATTGTATACTTTTAGATATTCTAAGTCATTAGTGTAGGTTATTTTTGGATATGCTCAGTACTCATGTCAAATTTGGTAAGGTTGAACAGCCACAGGTCACAACAGTAAAGGTCACATGCCATCAGCTTGCCCAATTGCATGTCTGTCCCAAATATAGAGATGTTGCACAGAAAGACGTCCCGCAAACTGAAAGTATGTCCTGACATTGTTGAAGCCACAACCTTGATTTTTTTAAGTCAAGATTGAATAAGCATTGGCCAGGTGAAATAAATTTAGCTTCCATCAAACTCAGTGAATACCAAGTTACAAACAGTGACAGTGTTTTCTTTAAATTGCCGCAGTCTGGGTTTTAAAATAATATATTCATTGCCTTGATTAAATTGTAACAAAATGAGCAAAATAAAATATTTTCAAAACAATTGGAAAATTGGTGTTTATGGGTGTATTATGGGCACTGTTGAAGTCCTAAGATTAGTAGGCCCCAATGAATACATGTAGTTGTTATAGCAAAACCTTAGAGGCAAGAATTGTTTGTGCCAGGGTTGCCAAATAATTGAACACCATTGTACTCCTGTGGTTTTACATGTATTGTCTATGCAGCCTTCTTAACCTTTTCTACAATCGACTGATTGGTGAGTTTTTAAAAGAATCAAATAATATGTTTTTTCAAAGAATGACAGTTCAAAAATACATACCAGTCTACTTGCACATGTAACTATATCAGAGAAATATTGAATTGCAGGACGAAATTTCTCCTGCATATCACAGCAGAAGAAAACCGATTTACCAGCAACAATGTTTCCAAGCTTTCTAGTGGCAGCCATTTTGAACAGTCACATGATTTAAGGTCATACTTGATTGAAACCTAAATTCAATCTTAAATATATGTTGCATGTCGCTATTTTCTGGCTTGAATATATCTATGTTCACAAATAGGAAATGATTTTAAATATATTGAAAAACAAATACCAATTCTTTGTGTTCGAAAAACAGACTTTAAATATAGAAATCGATTAAAATATGCAGTGCAGTCATTATTAATATTTGTTTAAAAATCAAGCGTTTCAATATGTCTGCGCCCATGTAAAGAAAATGAAAATAGAGACGCCTTAGTGTTTCATTTAAAGTTTTTAGACCAAGTCAAATGTGTCAGTTAGTTTTAATTAAACTTAAGACATAAAGAAATTATGACTGGCGTTCCAGACAGTGCTGATTTTGCAAAAACGACTTTGTTTAAATCTAAAAAAGATTGTGTTTACACAAGTTGCTATTGGTGAGATTTATTTTATTGTGACAGATGGTACCTCTACCTGAATATCGGCTGCATGACTGATAATATGAAATTAAGTAAAGCCTATGAACGGGAAAGTCAGTAAAAATAATTTTTCACTAGGGGGTAGTGTCTGTCTGTCCATCACAAAACTTGTCCGGACTACTCGCGGTGCAATATCACCCAATCTTTACAGGAATGATCAGTACCAAGTCTAGTTGTGTATATTATCGGCATTTTATGGTTCAATGAATTTTTTTCAGAGTAATGGCCCTTTAATTTGCAAATACCAGGGCTTTTTATATACTACAGTCACCCTAAATACTGGCATCTATGTAATATCATGTAGAAAAATTGGATCGTATTGCAGTCAAAATATTGAAAATAATTGTTATGTTTATGACATTGCTTTGAGATATTTACCTTACCCAATATATTAATAAAACAATCACCAGACAATTATAAATATGCATTTTTCATGATCTAATGTTTTACACTGTAATTCATGTACAGTAACCAAATTAATGTTATTACTCAGCTTTATACTAATACCTTAATATTTTTTATACAGGGTCTTCGTGCAGTGTGCTTAATCCAAACTTTTTTTTCATCTTACACTAAATGCATTTATTTTTAAATTTTGAAAATTGATTTAGCTCTTCTTTTAGTGAGGAAAATGTTTGGAAGCTCGCAAATGAAGTAAAAGAGAAGCACAGCAAGGAACTTGGAAACTGTTTCTGTGTATTTATATCAAATGAATCTCAATCTGTAAGTAGTGATATCTTTATTTTGGTTCTTAGGCACATTATCGATCCTGTTTTTCTATAAGCTTGTGTAGACTGTCACAATAGCGGATTTTGTTAATTGTTATTTAATTTTCTGTTACTGTCAAAAGTTTCTTTTTACTAGTGCATCATGTAAATACCATATTAATCTAGTCTTTAAGAAAATTTTTATTGCAAGTGCTGATTTAAAAAAAAATTTGTAATCAGTTATACATATATATATTGTCTGTGAATGTCAATATTAATATCATCAACTGATGTATCTACCATGTACCATCATCTACCATGTACATGTATAGAGACAAATGGTTAAGGTAACCCACTTTATATCAGTTGTCCTTCACTGCTGTTTGTTTAAAGTTGATATTCTTTCATGTCAGGAAGCTACATATCCAGCAAGCTTGTGGAAGGTTGCTGGTTTTACTTAGGTGCTTGCTTTTTGGCTAGGATGTGTTCTTACTCTTGACAACATTTTGATGTGTTTGGTTTATATATCTATTCAAAAATACTAATAATTCGTACAAAAGCATTGGAATTGTGTACTATAATATCTCGCACACTGTGTGTCAGTTAACATCACATAACTGGAACTCCCAGCACTATTACATGCCAGATATAATGCACACAGCATTACATTAAGAATATCTCTAAGAGTTAACCTGAAAAGTCAGTACATAATCTTTATATTGTAGATGTGACTGAAAACCTAGATATTAAAAGGGGAAAATATTCGTTATAAGTTCAATTTACAAGATCTGTTAGTGATATCATAAAAAAAATCAATGCAATTTAATTATACTCCTTTTTAATATGTAATCATAGATACCACTATGGGAACAGGCACCCAGTCAAAGAGAAGATGGATTGGTGATTTGGGTATGTATAATTGAGAGCTTATAAACTGAACTGTATGTAATTTATTACATTTTATAGACTGTCCCTCTGTTTAAGTGAATATTATACTAGATTTATTATTATATCAGAGACATAGATAACATTATGTTATCTATGTCTCTGATTATATGTATCAATAAGAAATGTTAAGTTAGTTACAAAACATACAATGTAAACATAAAAATGTCAAAAAGTTAAGTTAAAAATCTTCTGTTTCATTTTATTGTCCTTGGGTTTATTATAACACCACTTTTTCTTGCTTTTTATTGCCCATCCTGCTGTCATGCTGTCCATTCAATTAGACTGACAAAATATTGGAGTATTAGGGCTTCTGTGTCTTATAGAAACGTTTGTAGTTTATATCATTATTATCAAAGCATACACAAATAATTATTGTACATGTTTGTATTTTAGAATGGAAAAAAATGACATAGAATTTTCACTGTTGTTGCAGGACTACCATGTTATATTTTTACACAAGGCACAAGATGGCAGCTATATTTATGATTTAGACACAAAACTTGATTTTCCATGTATGTTTAGTCATTATATTGATAGAGGAATACAGTCATGTGATAAGTTCAAAAAGGAGTTTCACAGGTAAATTTGGGGACTTGTATTTCTTACAATATATTTGTTTCTTTATTCTATAAAATTGTGTTGTATTTAAACAAAAATGTGTCTATTTTTGGATGTTTTTCAAGTAATGTGTGTCATGAACTTAACACTGTACATGTATCTATATTTAAATGCTTTAACATAACAATAAGACAGTGACAAAATATACCTGCATACCAGACTATTGAGTGAATATGTGACAAGCTCAGAGATTTTTATACCCGCGAAACGAACTTCGGGCAGGTATATAGGAGTCATCCGGTGGTCAGTCCAGCGGTCCAGCGGTCCGTTGCATTTTCCTTGTCCGGAGCATAACTTGAAGACTATTGGTTGGAATTCAATATAACTTCATACAATGGTCAAGCACATCCAGAGGAAGTGCAGTGCACAAGAAACATAACTCCATCTTGATTAATTACAGAGTAATTGCCCTTTGTTACTTTTCCTTGTCCGGAGCATAACTTGAAAACTACTGGTTGGAATTCAAAACAACTTCATACAATGGTCAAGCACAATAAGGGGAAGTGCAGTGCACAAGAACCATAACTACATTTTGACAAATTGCAGAGTTATTATCTTTGTCCGGAGCATAACTTAAAACATACTGGTTGGAATTCAAAACAACTTCATACAATGGTCAAGCACAATAGGAGGAAGTGCAGTGCACAAGAACTATAACTCTCTCCAGAGTAATTATAGAGTTATTGCCCTTTGTTACTTTGCCATTGCTTTTTTCTTGTCCAGAGCATAACTTGAAAACTGCTAGTTGGAATTCAATACTATTGCATACAATGGTCAAGTATATTGAGAGGAAGTGCAGTGCACAGAAACTATAACTCTTTTCTTGACTTATTTTAAAGTTTATGCCCTTTGTTAATTTTTATTGTCCATTTCGTAACTTGAAAATTAATGGTTAGAATTCAATGAAACTTTATACAATGATCAAGGGCAGTGAGATGAAGTGCAGTGCATAAGAACCATAACTCTATTTGGACTAATTACAGTTATTGCCCTTTGTTACTTTTTTGTCCAGTGCATAACTTGAATACTGGTAGTTGGAATTCAATACAACTTCATACAATGGTCAAGCACAATGAGAGGAAGTGCAGTGTACAATAACCATTACTCCATCATCAGTATTTATAGAGTTATTGCCCTTTGTTCCTTTTCCTTGTCTTTCTGGACTTATTACAGAGTAAATAAAATTTCATCAATGGCCAACCACATTGAAAGGAAATGCAACATACAAGAACCACAACTATCTTTATTTGCCCACAACCATAACTCTATTTCAATTCTTTTACAAGGTATTCTGTTACTAATAACATCCTCATTTTCGAAGCTGTCTTGCGGGAATATTAATCACATTTAGTGATAGTTATAGTTTATATTATAAATAACAATAATTCAGTAACACGAATTTGTTGACTTAATTCACTAATGAAAGGTTGGTGACCTGAAATAAGACAGTAAGGTACATCTGAGGTCTTTCTCTCCACCAGTAAAATTGGAAACTCATCACGCCTTTAAAGTGTCAGTAAGATTTAGAACCTTTCAAAAAATGATAATATATTCTGTGGTCAGGTAGTTATAGTCACTAACTTCAAACGACTTTCATCTAAATATTGAAGGTTAAATTCCCAGACACCAGGAACTTTTGATTCTTTCTTGTCGGAAAGATATCCAGCGTCATTACTGAAAATCAGTGGTTTTAATAAGGTGCCTGATTGTGCAGGGAAATTTGTTTTCAACAGCAACAACAAGCTGCTGTTATTGAGTGTAAAAATGTAATAATCCTACTTTACTCATTGTCAGGCCAACTTTTAGTTTTTATTTGTTTGGGTCGTCAGACCAAACAAATAATGGTAGCGAAATTTCAGAGTCTAATGCTGTTAATTGCAAATGCCGAAAGTAGTCCACTTTTTCGAAGCGGTTACTTCCCTTTATATGTACACTAACGCCGAAAAAATCAGGGGAGATCACTGCGTAAAGATGGTCAAAGACAGGCACATTAATTTTCAAGCAAAATAATTCCCGAATGGTCGAAGATTTCTAATATTGTTTTATTGTATTTTCTGATTGAAAATAAGTAAATACAAAGCAGGCATTCAATCTCTGACACAGAAGTTTACGACAAACCTAACAACAAGTAGTTCTCAAAACAGCTTAAAACTAGCTATTTAAAAGAAAGAAATATTTTTATTTTGTTACAAGTATCCAACAAATTACAACGCATTCAAAGTTTAAAAATAGCGTTGGCTTATATAATTGTCAATAAATGCACAATCACAAATTACGCGGATGAATATGATTTTATCAATGAAAATACTATTTTTAGCGATGTCGATTACCGAATACTACACAAACCGAGTTGTGGAATATATAGATTCTACATGTCGGACTGTTTGGGCGAGAAGATTTTCGCTAAATTATTTACTTCAATTTTAAACAACAGGCTTATCCTGAACAAAATACCTCGAAATTAATAAGGATTACAAACCCGAAATGCAATGGAAGTTCTAAATTTAGAATGACTTGATGTTATTCAGACATTATTTGTATAACTTCTCCGTGGTGCAGGGGTAACGCGCTCGCTTAGTGAGTGAGAGGTCTGGAGTTCAAATCCCAGTCGAGGAAACTTTTTTTTTTAATTCTTTTTTAAGTGTCTTTGTTAAGGAAGTAGCCATGATATGCAAGGATAAAGTGTAGCTGTCGTAAAAAATGAACATAAATGATATTTTGATGGAACTCTAGTTATGCAGAATTCCGTATGTATCAAACTCTGGTGCTTTGCAAAATGAATTATAATACATAAAAATAATCTTATACAGGAAAATACATACAAATATACAGTACGAATTAGATTGCAAAGATCAGAAAATACCAGAGAACTTGCAGCCCTTTGATTCTTTATAAATATACATATGCTTATAGTAAGCTCCAGGATTATTTACATCTGTGTTAAACAACAGTTAAAGTCGTTACAAGCCCTAATTTAGAATAATACCGTTTCTTCAGGCCGTTCACATATAAATTCACCGTGGCTGAAGGGTTTTCGCGCTCGCTTAGGAAGCGAGAGGTCTGGAGTTCAAATCCCAGTAAAGGCAACTCATTTTTAGCTCGACTATTCGAAGAATATGAGAGCTATTGTAGTCGCCCCGGCGTCGGCGTCAGCGTCCGCGTCGGCGTCTGCGTTGGTTAAAGTTTTTTGTAAAGTCAAATATCTCAATTATTACTTGAGATATTCAATTGAAACTTACAATACTTATTAATAGTAACAAGGTACATCAGATCGACAAGTTGGATAACTCTGTCTACAATATTGACAGAATTATGCCCCTTTTTAACTTAGAAATTTTGGTTAAAGTTTTTTGTAAAGTCAAATATCTCAATTATTGCTTGAGATATTCAATTGAAACTTACAATACTTATTTATAGTAACAAGATACATCACATTGACAAGTTGGATAACTCTGCCTACAATATTGACAGAATTATGCCCCTTTTTAACTTAGAAATTTTGGTTAAAGTTTTTTGTAAAGTCAAATATCTCAATTATTGCTTGAGATATTAAATTGAAACTTACAATACTTATTTATAGTAACAAGGTACATCACATTGACAAGTTGGATAACTCTGCCTACAATATTGACAGAGTAATGCGCCTTTTTAACTTAGATATTTTGGTTAAAGTTTTTTGTAAAGTCAAATATCTCAATTATTACTTGAGATATTAAATTGAAACTTACAATACTTATTAATAGTAACAAGGTACATCAGATTGACAAGTTGGATAACTCTGCCTACAATATTGACAGAGTTATGCCCCTTTTTAACTTAGATATTTTGGTTAAAGTTTTTTGTAAAGTCAAATATCTCAATTATTACTTGAGATATTAAATTGAAACTTACAATACTTATTAATAGTAACAAGGTACATCAGATTGACAAGTTGGATAACTCTGCCTACAATAATGACAGAATTATGCCCCTTTGGAACTTAGAAATTTTGGTTAAAGTTTTTTTGTAAAGTCAAATATCTCAATTATTGCTTGAGATATTCACTTGAAATTTAAAATACTTTTTTTATAGGAACAATTTTACATATCTCAATAACTATTAAAGATATTTATTTAAAACTTCACATTTAGGGTCATAATTGTAGGTCACTGACAAAAATCCATAATTCTATCTTGCATTTAGGATGATTTTTCTCCCCTTTTTCAACTTAGAAATTCATGGTAAAGTTTTGCTTGTAAGCTGTTATCTCAATAACTACTGAAGGGTTAGTGCCTTTTTTGGGACAATTTTATGCATTCATAATAATAAAGCAGTGATTTGCTTGATAAAACATCTTAATAACAAGCCTTTGTACCTTTTCTGTCAAATTGATGTATTCATAGGTAATTAGTATTATTATACTCAATAAAACACCCTTGTAACATTACCTTCCGAATAGTCAAGCCAATACTGTATAATTAGACTCTCTCTAAGGCCTATAACATGAATTTATAAAAAAAATTAGCCCTTTTGTGAACTTAAAAAATTTAACATTATTAAGGCTCTTTTACTATCAAGCACTTAGAATAGTCGAGCGTGCTGTCCTTCCGACAGCTCTTGTTTTTCAAATTGTTTAAGTAAAATAAACATTGGATTGAATATCAGTGTTGCAATTAGTCTTAAAGCCAATTTACTACAATTAAAACGCTGGAAAGCATTGGTGGCACTATACATATAATCTCACAACCTGTACCTTTCTTACATTCTGAGACCCAAACAAATTCAGCGCCTTCTGTGCTTTGATTTAATGTGATACCAGGCAGCATACATTATGTTTCCATTGTTAACATTAATGTATCATGAATATTTCAAATAGGCCATTTAGGGGGTCTGGGTTTTTTTGTGTGTAAAATGTTTTTTCCCATACAATATATCAGTTCATTCTTTCCCCCCATTTTTGCTCCAGTAAATAGAAGCATTCTGTAACTGGTAAGCCAATAAATGATTATTTCCAACTTTGAAGTGATGCTTGATTTACACAAATAACCTTTCCTTATAGGCACTACATGTTTTTGCAAATAACAACATTTTTAGCTCAACTTTGTCGGCGTCGGCATCCTGCTATCTCCATAACCACTGAAAAGAATGGATTGAAACTTCACACACCTGTTCTTTCTGATTATCTAACATGATTGGCACAAGTCTCATAACTCTTGATTTTTTTTTTTCATATTTATACCCTTTTTTCGACTTAGAAATTCTTGATTAAGTTTTTGCATGTAATCTGGTATTTTCATAACTACTGAAGGGTTTGTGCCTTTTTTTGTGACAATTTTATTCATTCATAAATAATCATGCAATGATTTACTCAGTATAACATCTTAATAACAAGCCTTTGTACATTTTTGGACAATTTTATGTATTCATATAGGTAAGCATTATTATACTCAATGAAATACCCTTGTGACAACTTTTTCGTATAGTCGAGCGTTGCTGTCCTCCGACAGTTCTTGTTTTGTATTTAAATATCATACTCGTAAAAACATATCAAAGCACATTAACGACAAGTTTTAATATTAAAATAACAGTATATCTATGTTTGTAAAATAACTAATTAACCCATAACCTGCTAGTATACATTGTGCCTGTGCCACTATTATAGAGCAAGACCATGTACATCCATGCAGTTTGACCAGCCTGTCATGCTCAATACTGTTTGTTGCTCAATTTGTGTATTTTGATATTGAAATCTCTTAAACATTTAATTGACATTTCTAAATTAAAAGCTGGGCAAATCCATTACACAATTTCAGCAGGTTAAGGACTATGACAACTCTTTATGATTTTTCCCCCTCTAGTCCATTACTGTTGGTACTGTTTAAAAAATTTATGAAGAAATGGAGTTATGACTGTTTATAAGGTTATGTCTGACTTTATTAACATTGTTTGTCAGTCAGTCATCTAGCTATTAAATTTGAGCACTACATGTATAATTATGTTCGTCTGCATTAACAATCAGGATATTTTCAGGCAGTTTCGTGTGATTCCAGCTGATGAATTTTTATCAACATTTGCATCAGATAGATCTCATATGTTAGACGAGGATGGTAAATGGTTGAAGACTCCACCATCCTATCCATGTATACAAACAAAAGGTATATTCTTAGACCTAAAGATTTGTGTGTTTTTTACCTTAATCTGATACTTCCCTATCTACCTAGTTCATTGTAAAACGAAACATAATGTGAGAAACTCATAACATGATAAATATTCTTTGTACTTGAAACAAATATTCTTTGTACTTGAAACAAATATTCTTTGTACTTGAAACAAATATTCTTTGTACTTGAAACAAATATTCTTTGTACTTGAAACTAGATAAGCTTTTGACAGTGTTGGTAGTGAACTTTTAACCTGATCTCCCTTTAAAATTGGTGTGTATAAAGTTGCCTAACCATATGACACAACAGGCAAAATGTCAAATTTATACGATGCTGACCATATTCCTAGCATAAAAATAAAATAAACTCTAGAAACCTTTGTATCATTTGTATCAATGTGCTTGAATTGTAATGTAAGAGTTTTGTTACATTTTATATTTTCAGATGCCATAAACAATATAAAGGACTTTATAAGCATGGACCCAGAAGTGGGAGTTGGGAAAATAATGGACTTTTGGCAATTCTGTGATACTTTTATTGAAAAAGACACTTCCTGATGAAATGCTATCAGTTAGATGTACTACAACAACAAATATTTATTACTGAAAATGAGCTTTTATTCTGTTACATTGCAAATAATGTCCTCTGATGTTCAAGATTCTACCTTGTACTTCATGCAATACTATTGTTGTTTATGCCACAATGTCTCTTGACTTAACTGTTACACATCAACAAAAGAAGGATTGTTATAAGCATAAATGTATTGTGAAAGTATGAACAAAAATTTACTCTGCTAAACTTGCGTGATGTATTTGTCATGCATCGAATTTGGAGCTGTGAATTTTTGGATCTTTAGGACAATAAAGATTCAGCAGCTAGTAATGTAAAATCTGGTCAGATCTTACTAGAGTGCATGGATGTATAGTGTGGCCTAGGAAAGATAATCCGCGTCACAACAAAACCAACATAATGTGTTTGCGACCAGCATGGATCCAGACCAGCCTGCGCATCTCTGCAATCTGATCAGGATCCATGTTGTTTGCTTACAAACCCTATAACAAGTAAAGAAACTGATAGCGAACAGCATGGATCCTGATCAGACTGCACAGTCAGTTGACACCGGATGACCGATATATGTTTTTTTTTGTCTCTTTTTAAAAACATATTTTTCTATGATGTATTGTGCAGCAATAGATTGCAGGATAAAAATAAAACCAAGCGCACAACTGTTCTTCCCAAAACCAACAGATCTGCTTGCAACCAGTTAACGGGTGTGTGTATAATTTAAGTCACTATTTACAAAATAAAATGTTGCAATGGTTTAAAATTACAGCATCATAAACATAGCAAAACCTTTACTTTTATGTTTATTAGCTCACCTGAGCAATGCTCAGGGTGAGCTATTGTGATCACCCTGTGTCCGTCGTGCGTCGTGCGTCGTCAACTTTTCACATAAACAACATCTCCTCTGAAACCAATGACTGCACATCAACCAAACTTTACAGAAATGATCCTTGGGTGGTCCCCTTTCAAAGTTGTTCAAATGGTTCCGGTCTGTTGCATATGTAGGTCACAGGGCCAGAAAAGGATTTCAAAAAACACAAAATTAAAAAATCTTCTTGTCTGAAAGTACATGGGCCAGAGCTTTGATTTTTAGCTCGACTTTTCTATGAAAAGGGGAGCTATCCTACTCGCCCCGGCGTCGGCGTTGGCGTCGGCGTTGGCGTCACACCTTGGTTAAGTTTTTCGTACCACCCCACTTTATTTCAGAAGTATTACAAGTATGGCTTTGAAACTTACCATACTTGTTCACCATCATAACCTCCATCTACAGACAAGAGTACATAATTCTGTCAAGGTTTTTGACAGAATTATGGCCCTTTTTTGACTTAGAAAGTGTATTGAGCTTGGTTAAGTTTTTTGTACCACCTCACTTTATTTCAAAACCATTGGAGGTATTGCTTTGAAACTGACCATACTTGTTTACCATCACGACCTTCATCAACAGACAAGAGGACATAACTCTGTCAAGGTTTTTGACAGAATTATGCCCCTTTTTGACTTAGAAAATACATTGAATATGGGTAAAATCCACTTATTGCCTTAACCCTTTGAGATATTGCTTTGAAACTTTTAATGCTATTTCACATCATTACCCCCATCTGTACGCAAGAGAAGGTAACTCTGTCAGGGATTTGTTTTAAAAATTAAGGCCTTTTATCGACTTAGAATCTTGGTTAAGTTTTTTGTACCAGTCAACTTTTTGACTGAACTGGTTGAGATATTAAATTGAAAGTTGGAATACTTGTTTACCATCATAGTCCCAAACATGGGCAGGAGAAGGTAATTCTGTTTAGGATTTTATTTGAATTATGGCCCTTTTTGACTTAGAAACTCAGTTAAAATTTTCATTCTTGTCCACTTGTTGACCTAACCATTTGAGATATTACTTTGGAAGTTGGAGTTCTTATGTGCCATCATGAGACCTATCTGTAAGCAAGAGAAGATAACTCTGTGAAAATGTTTCTTGATTTGTACTTAGAAATTCCTAGTTAAAGTCTTGTGTGCCCTTAACTGTCAAAGTTTTGTTTTATAGGCAAGCACTAAAAAAGTCGAGCGCGCTGTCCTTCTGACAGCTCTTGTTGGTATATGGTATCATCTATGGGTCCTCTACCAAAGTTGTTCAAATTTTGTCCCTAGTGTCAAAATTGGCCCCGCCCCGGGGGGGTCATAGGTTTTTCCTTATATGTCTATAGGTAAATCTAAAAAAATCTTCTTCTCTGATTTGGCAAAGGCTACAGATTAGATATTTGGCATGAAACATTGTGTAGTAGACCTCTATCAAGATTGTTCAAATAATGGCCCTAGGGTCAAAATTGGCCCCGCCCTGGGGGTCATTGATTTTCATTACATACATATAGTGAAAACTTGAAAAATCTTCTGGTCTGAAAGTAAATGGCCTAGAGCTTTGATTTTTGGTATATGGTATCATCTATGGGTCCTCTACCAAAGTTGTTCAAATTTTGTCCCTAGTGTCAAAATTGGCCCCGCCCTGGGGGTCATAGGTTTTTCCTTATATGTATATAGTAAAATCTAAAAAAATCTTCTTCTCTGATTTGGCAAAGGCTACAGATTAGATATTTGGCATGAAACATTGTGTAGTAGACCTCTATCAAGATTGTTGAAATAATGGCCCTAGGGTCAAAATTGGTCCCGCCCCGGGGGTCATAGGTTTCTAATATGTATATAGTAAAACATAAAAAAATCTTCTTCTCTGAATTGGCAAAGGCTACAGGTAAGATATTTGGCATGAAATATTGTGTGATAGACCTCTACCAAGATTGTTTCAAATAATGGCCCTCGGTCAAAATTGGCCCCGCCCTCGGGGTCATTGATTTTCGTTTTATACATATAGTGAAACTTGAAAAAATCTTATGGTCTGAAAGTAAATGGCCTAGAGCTTTGATATTTGGTCTATGGTATCATCTATAGATCCAAAACCAAAGTTGTTCAAATTTTGTTCCTAGAATTAAAATCGGCCCCGCCCTGGGGGTCATTGATTTTCCTATATGTATATAGTAAAAACTTAAAAAAATCTTCCTTTAAAAAAACCCAAAGAGCTAGAGCTAAGATATTTAGCATAAAACATCTTCTAATGGGTGTCTACCAAGTTTGTTCAAATAAAGCCCTGGGGTCAAAATTGGCCCCGCCCCAGGGGTCATTGATTTTCCCTATATGCATATAGTAAAAACTTAAAAAAAATTCTTTGAAAGAACCCAAAGAGCTAGAGCAAAGATATTTAGCATGAACATGTTCTAATGGATGTCTACCATGGTCGTTCAAATAAGAGCCTGGGGTCAAAATTGGCCCCGCCCCGGGGGTCATTCATTAGCTCGACTTTTTTTTAGATATATACATATTATATATATACAAACATATATATATATATATATATATATAGAAATATATATGTATACATATATATATATTATATATATATATTTATATATGTTATGCCTATGTTAAATTCTTTGCACCCCATAAACTAGGTTTAGAAGCCATTTCATTTTGGTTAAATAAGTACCCAGAATTAATTACACATCGTTTTGATAAGAGCTTTATATTAAATGGCCTTGAAATAATTTTACAAAATAATATTTTTTCATTTAATAATCAATATTATAGTCAGGTAAAAGGTACAGCCATGGGGACAAAGGTTGTATACATGTATATTATTATATATATATAGACATAAAAAATCTTCTTTTAGAAAACCCAATAAGCTAGACCTTAGATGTGTAGCATGAAACATCTTCTAATGGGTGTCAACCAAGTTTGTTCAAATAAAAGCCCTCGGGTTTAAACTGGCCCCGCTCCGGGGGGCCTATATACAGGTGAGCGACTTTGGGCCATCATGGCCCTCTTGTTTCTTTGGACAAGACATGAATTAATCATCTAGTTCCATATAAGACCGCTTCCATGGTCGAGGGGTTAGAGTCGATGACTTCTAATCCAGTTACCTCTCTGGCGTGGGTTTGATCCCCGGGAGATGCTTTGGTAGTTTAGCACGGAGGAAGGTATTCTAGTACTGGTGTAACTCTCAAGGAACCATGGTTAGGAAACTACCCGCCTACATGTATATGACTGAAATACTGTTGGGAAGTAAAATGAAACAAACAGACAAGTTCCATATAAATGCATGAGTCTATGGTGTAATTTTTAGCTCACCTGTCACAAAGTGACATGGTGAGCTTTTGTCATCGCTTTTCGTCCGGCGTCCGTCCGTAAACTTTTACTTTAAACGACATCTCCTCATAAACCACTAAGCCAATTTCATCAAAACTTCACAAGAATGTTCCTTTGGTAGCATCGTCGGATACCCACGATTGATAAACATGTCACATAACATGCAATCAATGAATGATAATGGTTCGGCCGTGGGTATCCGACGATGCTTTGGTAGTTAACTTTAAAAATTGTTCAAAGAATTTAATTTCAAGCAGAACTCTGGTTGCCGTGGCAACCAAAAGAAAAAACTTAAAATATCTTCTTTTAAAAAACCGCAAAAGTTAGAGCTAAAATATTTGATATGAAACATCACCTAGTCAGTGTCTACCAAGTTTGTTCAAATAAATGCCCTGGGGGTCAAAATTGGCGCAGCCCCGTGGGGTCATTGATTTTCCTTATTTGTATATAGTAAAAACTTGAAAAATCTTCTTTTAAAAACCCCAAATAGCTAGAGCTTAAATATTAAGCATGAAACATCTTCTAGTGGGTGTCTACCAAGTTTGTTCAAATAAATGCCCTGGGGTTAAAATTGGCCCTGCCCAGGGGGGTCATTGATTTTCCTTATTTGTAAATAGTAAAAACTTAAAATATTTTCTTTTAGAAAACCGCAAGAGCTAGAGCTTAAATATTTGGCATGAAACATCACCTAGTCAGTGTCTACCAAGTTTGTTCAAATCAATGCGGCGGGATCAAAATTGGCCCCGCCCCGAGGGGTCATTGATTTTCCTTATTTGTATAAATAAAAAACTTAAAAAAAAATCTTCTTTTAAAAACCCCAAATAGCTAGAGCTTAGATATTAAGCATGAAACATCTTCTAGTGAATGTCTACCAAGTTTGTTCAAATAAAAGCCCTGGGGTAAAATTGGCCCAGCCCCAGGGGGTCATTGATTTTCATTATTTTGTATAGAGTAAAAACTTTAAAAAATCTTCTTTTAAAAAACCAAAAGAGCTTGAGTTTAGATATTAAGCATGAAATATTTTCTAGTTAGTGTCTACCAGTTTTGTTTAAATAAAAGCCTTGGGGTCAAAATTGTCCCCTCCGGGGGGTCATTGTTTTTTCTTGTAAAAACCTCAAAGAGTTAAAGCTTCAGATATTTATCATGAAACATCTTCTAATGGCTGTCTACCAAGTTTGTTCAAATAAAAGTCCCTGGTTTAAAATTGGCATTGGCCCAGGGCCCTTTCAT